TGTAAAATATAAATATTTGATTTTATTTATAAAAACTAGACGCCATATAACATATATCCAAAGTTGTTAATCGCTACTTTTAAAAGTAGCGCGCTATCGCTATCGCTATTTGTCAAAAAAATTAGCACGCTACCGCTATCGCTATTTGTCAAAAAAGTAGCTCGCTATTAGCTACTATTTTTACTTTTTATAAAAAAAATTTAGAAACAATTTTTTTTTTATTTTGCATAAATAATATATAAAAATCAACATTTATAAATATTAAAATATAGTTAATTTTGATTATAAAAATATTTATGTAATAAATTTTAAATATTTATGGTAATTTGTTGAATTTTAATAATAAAATCATTTCAATATTATCATCCCCAAGTCTAGAGCGACGATCAGAAAGTATCAGTTTTGCCTTACTAAATAATCTCTCGACACTAGCACTTGAGGGCAAGGGATTATTTAATCTTATATACATTGTTGTGTCCAACTATCAGCCGTGGTACATATATGAGATATCTCTGATAATTCTACTATTAAAGCATCTTTCATCACTTTAAACTTACTTGCTATTTTATTTAGTATTGATCAAAGACTGCGCTTCTGATGAGGTTTTTGCCTCAAATGATTTATTATCTATATATTATAAGTTGAAGTGCATTTATCGTTATTGGGAGCAAGCTTTCGTTGCCATTCCATCTAAGAGCTTTTTCACGTGCCGATCATCTTGTCTCACCTATTTTTTGCAGCCTTCTCAACTTATTTTGGCCAAATGAATTATTCTGTTTCACCCAAGCATCCATCCTTTTATATGATTCACCAAAGAAACTTGCTAGTCTGTTCAATAATCCAAATAAATTTTTGTCTTCAATATTATCGCATGAATCACATATACAGAGATTTAATATGCGACTGTAACACCAAATATACAAACTACCTGGAGCCTCTTATCTAATAAGAGCTTGCAACCCACCAAATTCATGCGCATATTTGCAGCACCATCAAATAATTACTCAATTATATTTCTCATTTTAATTCCATGTTTTAAAAAGCATTCACTCGAGATATCAAAAAATCCTTTTCCAGAAAAGTTAGTAACTTTTGTAAGTGCGAAAATCCTTTCTGTTATTTTGATATATGTATCGTAGGCGAACGGTTGCTTGATCATAAACGCTAATATCTTAAATATTTTCCTATTCATTTCAAACTAAACCGTTTGTTACCAATCCCCTTTTTTTTAAAATTAAATTCCGGATTTGATCAAAAACAACATCAATAACTTTGTTAACAGTTCTTTTTTGACAACTAGGTTATGAGAGAACATCTTCCCCTTGATTTTGATTTGTCAGAGAGTTTAGTTTAATCTTTTCTTTTCTATGTTTGCTCTTTAAAATAGCCTTCTCTAATAATCTCTGAGTATTTGATCATTCTTTGATATAATCGGAATCCTTTCCAGGAAATTCCCATAATTCAAATTTTCATTTTCAAAGTGGCTAAGTGTTTCAGTAGCATTTGATCCTCTGTAGGGTAATTTTGTTTGCCTAAAACCTTTATTATCTCAAATATTTGTTTTATTATGTGGATATTATTATAAATTAAATTTATCAATTTTTTCCATTTAATAACATTAATTGAATAATGACTTGTTTTTTGATGCTCTGAGGTAGGCCTCTACTGCACTAATATGTACTCTTGAATTTTCATGTATTTAAATTACTGAATGCATATGTCGAAAATTTGTTGAGGCTGTTGTGAAAACAGGGACCCGGAGTGAACCGTAACGAACCTTTAAACCACCGTTATAAATATCTGAACCCTAACTGTAACCGAACCGATATAATTCTTTTTGAAGGAGTATAAAGAACCTTTATAAAAAAAGGTTAAACCGGTTCAGTTTTTATATTTTTGAAATGGAAATAATTATTTGAATATTCAGAATTATATAAACCTGCTCTTATAGTACTGGCGGTTCCCGCAACACAAGTTTCGTAGAAAGGGCCTTTTCGGGGCTAAAATTTGTGTTATCATCACAACGAACAAAAAGGAATCCATTTATATTAGAAAATATATTACTTATACGTTCAAATAATATATTTAAAAATGAGTTATTATGAATCATATATACTTTTTTTATATATAATTCAAAGATGCTTATAATAAAAATTAGACGATGATGTTGCTTCAATAAAAAAAAAATTTATAACCGTAATGAACCTTTATAAACCTTTATAATTAGCTGAACCGAACCGAACCTTTATAAATTTTTTCTTTAGAACCGTAACCAAAACTTAACCATTATAATTTTTTACATACTTAACCGTGACCAAACTGAACCGTTATAAATAACGGTTCGGGTCCCTGTGTGAAAGTGTTTCGCGCAAATCCCAGGCAGATTGAACCACATATTTGGCTTTATTGCACATTAGTTTTATTGTAATACATTTTCTAGGTATTTTTTCACTCATTACCATTCGATAATATAATTTATCATATTTACTATTTATTGGTTGTATAAGATGTTGCATCAAAAATATAGGTTTTTGAGGTATAGTGTCTGTTAATTGCAACTTAAAATTTTCATATGTATGCATATCCAATTCTGAAGGAGATACTGTAGGATCCCCTGAATTGATTTGTGGCATATCTGGGAAGAGCTCTTTAAAAAAATAGATGATGAAATTGTTACAGAAATGTGACGTTAATATTCCTATATATATTGCAATTTCCGATATTAATAATCCACTTTGTGAAATATCTGAAGGCATTATTGATGTAGTTGCTTCTGACAAGTGTGAGGATAATAAAGACGGAACTGCTGTAATTGTAGATAATGTATTTTTAGGATATGTGAATGATTTATCTGCTATAATGGTAGATAATATAGTTTTAGGTGGGTGTGGCAATGATTGAACTGATTCAATTATAAATGAAGATGTTGCAGACAATGTAGTTGTTTCAGGTAGATGTAAATAGGAGGCAGTTGTTGATATTCCTAAAAAAATAAAGAAGTTGTTTTGAATCAGCACCAGCAGCTATGAGATCAGCAACATTTTTTTCTCCTAATTTTTCAGCTCCACCTTTAAATTTCCTTTTGGCATTTCTATGCATGATATTTAAATATATATCACTTTAACTAAAAATAATATTGTGTACACTACCCATGATAAATATAAACAAGATAAGTGTAAAATTAAATTTAATATATTTTTTAAAAAAATTGTATTATAAGGCAATAAAGTTATCATGTTAGATTATCCTTTCATATGATGTTGCATAAAACATTTACTATTATTAATTTATAACTTAAGAAAAAAAAATATCTCTAGATGTGAACTGGAAATTCAAATAAGATTCATATTACATATAAAATTACTTATTTTTATAAAAATCTGATGAACCAGCTAGTAATGATAAAAAAAACACTACTGTCTATGGGTTATGAAATATAAAGAAGTTGTTTACTTTTGACTTTTTACATACATCACGATCTTATAAATAAATGTAAAAATAGCTATATTATGTTGATTATTATATTTGGTTTGTACCAGAGTTGTTAAACCCTAGAGGATATATTTTTTTTTGAACAAAAATTTGTAGCCACTTTTTGTTTTTACATTAATATGAAAATATTTTCAAATTTTTGAAATGGATATTGTTATCAAGAACATTTCTTCAAGGGTGCCTTCCATTCAATAATATAATTGTATGACACACTTACATCCATTTGCGATGACATTTTAAATAATTTCCACCAGATGATTTAGGTTTATAATACAAATGGAAAATATAAATTAAAATTAAATAATAAATTATAAAAATTATAATTAATTAAGATATTATATTTAAATTTTAATGTTTATAGTTATATCCATTATATTTTTAAAAAGTGGCTAAGTAGCGCGTTACTTAGCTACTTTCAAAAAAAGGAGCGCGCTAAGAAAAATAAATAATTGAAAAAAGTAGAGCGCTATTAGCTATTGCTACCAAAAAAGATAGCGAGCTACTTTAACAACTCTAGTTTGTACAATAAATTTTACTGAAAATTTTTGCAAATGATAAGTAAATTGTTGTAATCCAAATTTTAGGTAAAATTTTAACAAGTGTTCGTTGAGCTTAGTTAGTAATAAAATAACATATATTAACAATCAATTAATATTAAAAAGAAACATTAGAAAATCAAATTGATCAAAAATGAATTTTATTAAAATTATACCTGGGTTTTATTTAATTTCAAGGAATTAAGAATAAGAAATACAATCACAAATGTTGGCTAGATTATTTCTATAATAAATTAATGTTTAAAAATATAATATAATAAATTAATCAAAACTTAGCTTTAACCCTACTCAAACTCAAACGGAAGCGTTTTCCATTTGAAAAAAACAACAAAGAAAAGCACGTGGTAATGATGTATAGTGTAAAGCTACGTTTTGATATTTTATGTATTAAAATATAGTAAATGACATGATAATTATCAAGGAATGTGATATTCAAATAATAGAGATTTCATTAAAAATAAAATGATAAAAGAAAAAAATGTGAACATAATAATATTTTTTTATTAATCGGCCTCTTTATTGATATTTTCCTCTCGGCCTCAAAAACAGACATTTTCTCGCGGCCTCGAAAATGCTCACCTGGTCTTATGGCCAGTCCGCCCTTGCTTGATGAAAGTATATAATAATTAATTGAGTGCCAATTTACATTTTAAATATATAAAATTGATTACAATATTATAAGAAATAGCTATTGGTAGACTGGAACAATTTTTGTTAGAATTTGTATTTACCTAAACTTTTTTTTACTATCAAAATTTTTCTAATTAATAATAAAATAACCTTTTGCTTCACAATTTACTTAACAAAATAAAAGTAATGATATATAAAGTTCAAATTTAAATACATGAATATCTACGCGCATATGAATAACAAATAATACCTATTCAAATCTATTACAATTACATTATAACGACAATGGTGTTCTAGTGATATTTTTTTAAATCGACATAGGATTGGCAGATAGGTCTTGGTCGACGATTTCGTTCTTTGAAAATATACTTCCACATCAAGCTATTGGGAATGGAACACATTAGATCTCAAATTAGAAATGTAAATTAAATTTATAAACCCATTAAACCCACCCATACAACATTCTATACTATTTTCTCGTTTTTCTATTAAATTTTATAGGAGCTCAATTTGCAAACACTATTTAAGTTTTGACTATTGATAATATTTATGTTTAATATTATTTTCAAATTGAGTGTCTAACTTATATATTTTCAAATGAATATGAATACTTAATTAATTTTATATCAAATAGAAAATATAACATACTATCTTATATGAGTTGGTCCAAAAATTGCTTTTTGATTCAATTTTTTTTTCATAATCACTTACTGCAACTATATTAACAAAGTTTTTGTTTTTACATATTATATCTTAAGTATAAACATATCAAATATGCCAAACTAATATAGTATCATAATATATTATTTATCTTCTATCATTATAATTCATTTCTTATTATTTTTGTAGCATAACCATGTAAGCTGAATTAAAGACGACTTAAAGTATGTTTTCAGTAAGCTGAATTTTATTTTATTCATATATGAATATAATAAACAACGAAGAAAGAGGACGATCGAATAGGAAAAATACAAAAAGATTTAAAGTACCTTATATTCAAAACTGAACGTTTTTCTCAAGATAAAGATATATGAAAATAAAAAATTAGCGGAGGTTTCTGTTATGCATGTAATTATGGAATATTGGCGCTAATACCACAATATAAATTCTTGAAAAATAAAAAGAAACAAAAACATGCGGGTCAAAAGGTGGATCATATTAGAATAGCAGAGGTCACTATTATTATGAAGTCTAACATTAGTATATCTGGCTTACAAAAAGAATAATTTTGATCAACATACATTGCGCAAGGCATGCATTAAATATCATGGTATAAGTTATCTTTTATAAGATTGCAAAAAAATTGATATTTCTTAGTATTATTTAAAGATTTGTTATCGTTTTTTAGAGATTCTCTCAAACGCTTGAAGATATTTCGTTCAACTCAAAATAAAAATGGATCTTATTTAAGACCATATACTCGTTGGTGTATAAAGGATAATATCGCTAAAACCATTACATCAAATAAGGCTTTGAGAAAACTCTCTATTTATTAAAATGACGATAACAATATTTAAGAGTAAAAATTTAATATCGTAAAAAGTTTTAACAAACCAGTAATAGATCATTTAATAAATATGCGATCAAAATGTAAATTTTGTATAATAAGAAAATAGCTTCTCCTCTCGAGTTTTAAGTCAAACTTATTTGAAAGAATATCAATTAACTCAACATTAATGGTGCTCTCAAATTAGCTTCCACTTATTATTTACTTGCAAATTTTACTGATTAAACCTAAATCAAACTCCTTTCTAAACGCCCTCCACCTACTCAGTTCCAATCGCTCAACAACCTATTAGGCTTCTGATTTCATCTCTGACAAAGTCTGGTAAACACTCCTGCCTTTAATGGGATTCCACCCATATTCCTTCAGGATACAACATATTCTTTGATCAGCTCAAGACACCCATTTTACCCAAAACATTAAATTTGTGAAACCGAATCTTGAGCTAGAATTATCGCCTTACAGATCCTTACATAGATATCTAGCGAATAGCCCATGGTTCAACACTCTGCGCAAAATGAGTTCTCCCAGGATTAAGCATGGAACCTCTCACATTCTCACTTCAATTAGAAATTATTGGCGAATATGAGGCTGCAGTACATTTCACACAACTTCATTTGGAGAGTGATCCCACAATAAATAATTCATCAAAAATTTTCCTAATGAATATAACTCCCATTCTGGCAATCAGACAGCACATCATTCCCTAGTCACACAAAATTCATCTATTCTTGTTACCAATTTTCTTCAATTTTACAATTGATTTCGCACTAGATCTTCTTGGACCACTTTTATTTTTCTCAGAATCAATGAGATAATCCAAACCATTAATTTTGCCTGCACGTTCGATATATCGAAGATGGTATCATTACCGGGTTTCAAGACACAATCAACAAGGCTGTAAAAAAATGGATGCACTGTTGGTCCTTCTTAACCCCAGATAGTCCGAATTTGTAAAGCTCAACTCATAATCACTTCCAATGAGGAAATCATATTTAGATTCCCTTGTAGGATGATTAACTGCTATCAGTACTTTCAAGCATTTTTCTTATGATATACTCAAGCAAGGTTATCATCTTTACCTGCTATCCTAGAATAAACCATTTTTCCATCTATATATCTTTTTTAGAATTTCACCATTCTTTTGCATCATTCAACTCCTATTTTGAAATTTTCCACCTCTTTTAGCTTTTATAAAAACATTTGGATAGGGATGATATATAGTAGATCGGACTCGAGAACGTGATTCCGTTAATATATATTAAAAAATAAGTGAGCCATGTTAAAAAATTATACATTTAGCAGTGCCTATCGAAGCAAAAATTAAAAAATATCAATTCACTCGATAATACCTTTGGCAATAAGTATCATTAACCTTATCAATGCTAACACTTCAAAAAATGACTTTTCTTTAGAAGACGTTTTCTTGTTGTGGAAAAGAAAACGTCTTCTTGCTACGGAAGATGCCGCTGATATTTCATCACCCGAATCCAACAGATAGAAAGATTGGCCAGGTGTAGTTCACTGTGAATCTTGTCGAATATCTAGCTTGCTACCAACCGATTGATCCTTCGATCCATATCCAATTTTTTAATTATAACCTTCAGCTCCAACTCGCAAACAATAAGCTTACCCATGATATTGGATTTAACTGTACGATATCCTCACATCAACTCTGGCTGTAGATAGCAAAGGAGAGCGTTTAAAATGCTGTTCATGTAATGATCGAATTTCTAGGGGTCAATACAATTGACAAAATATTCACGATATTTGAACCCCTGATTTATTAATTTCAACAGCAGTTTTCCTTCAAATTCTATACCTACTCTTTCTTCCTTATTTTCTTCTCCTTTTTATGCGATATTTATTATTTTTTAGATTAACCTAATTTCGCATAGCTAATATTATATTACTAGCTAAAATTTAATTAATTAATTATATTTGTTTTGTTTTACATACAATAATATTATTATAAAAAAATAAAATTATTTAAAATAAATTTGATTTTTTGTTAGAATATCAGATTAGGTGAGTATTTTGAATCTGTGGTACTAAAAGATAGGCGCCTGTTTATACCGTATCCCCTTGCGTGTGGAATGCTCTGCTTTAATTTAAAGGTTTATAACCCAATTCATTTTTCTAGCGCATAACGAGGTTTGCTACGAGTAGAGGGGCTAATGTTAAATTATTTGAATTTATCTTAAGTGATTTTTATTTAATATTTAATTTATTAGAATAACAATAAGACCTCTTATAGAAAGCGTGTACCGAGATGTCACAAAACAATTATATTAATATTTGGCTATATTCTTGAATAAATTTTGTTCCTGAGTGTTAAAGCATATAGGTCCTATGTTATCACTTAAATTACCAAAATTTTAGTTTTTAGCTTAATTAAAGAATAACATGGATTCATAATGTGAATCTATCACTTGGAGATATAATTTTAAATCTTATATTTTCTAACTTCACCCGCATCAAATGTGATCACTAAATTGATATTGTGGTAGGCGCAGATTGAATGTTGTGGTAGAAAATTAGAGCTTTCTGCTCTGTTAATCAGTATATAATCGATATCCACAATTTAAAATTTTTCACCCATTTTCAGAACTTTTATGCTCTAACATTCCATTTATTTTAGAGAAGAATGTTTCTTGTAGAATGGAAATTTTTCGTCTTCCATGATTTTTATATTCTATAATTTGAACTTAAAAAATGGAAAACAAAAAAAATTATAAAAACTTGGCTCAACATTGAAGTTAAATAGTTTTCATAAATTTATATCATTTTTATTTTATTCAACAAATATATAAATTAAGATGATTTTATTAACAATTTATACAATAAAATTAAAGGAGCCAATCCACTCCAAAAAGGAGCTAACTCCTGCTCTCGCCCAGTTTTGTGAAATAGTGCTACTCCAAATGTTACTAAAAAAAAAGTCAGAAAAATGCATAATAAAAAAATATAAGTGTAGCCAGATAAGGCCGGTAAAAATCTCGCTAAATTCGCCATTGACCCCTCTCTTATTCATAGAAAACCTGGCTATGCCTATGTAAAAAAAAATAATAAGTCATATTACTTAAATATCTAGTAAAAAATAGTATATAGCTTTTATATAGTCAAATTTTTTTATCTTATATGGCGGGAATTTTTTAAAATTAAAATAATGAAATTATAGACTTTTTATGACAAATGAAAAGCCAAAATCCTTAAGTTTTTATGAAATAAAAAAAATGTTAAAAAATTAGGACATACTCAAATTATCAATATGTTCAATTGTTATTTCGCGTAAATTTTTATGTGAGATGATTTATTTTTTCTACTATTTTTCATTTTTAAGTTTTGCTAAAATATATTTTAATAAATAGGATTCCGATCTTCTAACTAGGATTTTGTTCAAAAAGCTAATCGAACAAGATATATATCTGACATCTACAGAGGTCAAAGGGCGTTTACTCATAAGGTAATTTAATATTGCTGTTTTTAACTGCTAATAAATATATATTTAAAAAGAAAATAAATGATATAATGATAATTTCAAAATAAAAACAATATTTCCTAAAAATAGAGAGCCCCTTATACTAGAGATCTGCAAAGTTAGGCCCGATTCTATTTAAAACAATCGGGTTCGAGCCGGGCCTAATATTTTTAAAAAAATTTGGGCCGGGTCGGGTCGGACCTTGGAATTTTTTTTTAAATATATCTAAATTTATCAAAACTAAACGCCCAGGCGTGTACGCAGCGGGGGGGGCAGGGGGACAAAGCCCCCCCCCCCCCAAGTTAAAAAATGCAGATGCCGGATAAATTTAAAAAAATATTATTGTTTATATTCAGTTGTATTTTATATTCCATTCTCTTTCTTTTTAAGTAAATATTTAATTACATTTATTTATCACATTCATTTACTAAGTTATTTTATCAATTAATTTCGATTTCAAGTTTTTCTTGGCGTAATATTTATCTATTATTTTCAAATTTCTAGTCAAATAATAATTATGGAGATAAGAAATTTTTTTAAACATATTGTTGATGATGAAAATCCTAGTCATCTTATAAAAAAAGTAAAAATAATTTTATAACATTTTATAATTAGCCTAGATGGTTATGGCTAGAATTCTCTATATGAGACAATGGAGCTTATCGCAAGATATGAGTCCTGTTAGTTAAGTCAACATGTACAAAGATGCTGAGAAATTTTTGACAAACATCAAAAAACAAATTATCACAAACGCTGGGAACCTATTATTTCTTCAAATAAATTGTGGGGATATGATTCCTATTTTATCACATATTGACAAAAATAGGAATAAAATAGCAAAAGAAAATAGATGTAAGATCAAGCTAATTATTGAGGTCATTCTATATTGTGGATTGCAGGGACTAGAATTACGTGGCCATTTGGATTCAGGAAGCTTGAATTTCAATAATAATAATAATGAAGGTAATTTTCGTGGTCTTTTAAAATTTAAAACATTAGGGGATTCAACAGAATTATTTCTGAAAATCCTTGTCCAACAAGGAGAAAGACATTACAAAAAGCTTGTCCAATGAGATAAAGTCTTCGCCATCAAGCAGTAACAGCTTTTATAGATTTAGAAGAGTAGATTATAAATGCTTACTGAAACAATTGCCTGAAGGAGATAATCAGAAGCAAACAAATCATTGGATTCAATACTTATACGTTTTTTTCTCATTAACATTGACTTGATTGAGACGATGAGAATAGCGGAGAGCATTTTATTAGAAATCAGGGAAATTAGGGCTAATGTTGTTGAAGATTTTCATATTTTATTTTTGAGTCAAAAGCAGAGCTATACGAGTTTAACATTTGTCTCCCTCGATTTGCAGCGAGGCAAGCTCATAGTCTTAACATTAATATAGGTTCAGTAGAAGAGTATTATAAAATAAATGTATTTATACCTCTCTTAGATACATTTATAACCCAAATAAATGAACGGGTTTTAATTCATCAGGCAGCACTTAACAGTCTGCCTCTGCAGATATTACTTCCACAAACGTCTTTTCAACCTTTTTCAGATGGTAATAGAAAATAAATAAAATATTTATCAGATTTTTTTCATGAAGATGTTAAAGTATCTTATGATGCCTTATAGGCTGAATGCCAACTATAGTATAAAAGATTAACTATGGTTGATATAGTCCCAAAAAATTATGGATGCTTTGCATCATTTCAAACATCTTTAATATTTTCCCAATGTATTAAAATTATTAATATTAGTAACTTTTCACATTAGTACTGCAACTAATGATAGAACATTCCCTTCTTTAAGAAGAATAAAAACATACCTAAGGAGTACAACTGACAATATTTTGAATATTCATAGGTATTTGATGCCAAGCACAGATGAGATAATTGAATAATTAACCCAATCCCAAAGAAGATTGGATTTTACATTATAAATTTATAATAATTTTTTGTGCGATTTATTTTTTAATTATATTTTTTCATGAATACTTTTTAAGTTATTACATACAAAATACAATTATTCCTAAAAAACCTCTGTAATAATTTATGTTTCCAGCATTTAAATTTTTATACTTTATATGTAAATTATAAAGGCTCAAAAAATTTAAATTTCTATTTTGGGTCATTTATTTTATAGTGATTTATATGTTGGTTATATCCACTTAATATTTTATAATTCACATTTATTTTGTAGTTTTTTATATGCCGCCGGTTATATCCGTTTAATATTTTTTTCATTCACATTATTTTATAGTTTTCTATATGCCGGTTTATATATTTATTTTTCATAATTCTCATTAATTTAAAATTCTGATTTAGAAATAGTTACTAATCCTAAAAAAATTTATGCTTGATATTTTTAAATAACAATGATTTTATTTAAAAAAATTTAATCCCCCCCCCACACCAAATTCCTGCGTACGCGCCTGTAAACGCCATATAACATATGTCTTTTATTTTGAGTAATTATAAAAATTAATTTCTATATTTAAATAAATTCAAGCCGGGCCGATAAATTTTTTTTAAAAAAAAATCGGGTTCGGGCCGGGTCGGGCTTGAAAAATTAGGCCCGATGCAGATCACTACCTTATACCTTTCTTGTCCTCTATTCTCTACTACAAATATTGTGAGATATTTATAAGATGTGAAATAAAATTTAAATTTTTTATGCATTATATACACAATTTATTATATTCATTAAGATTTCCTGTAGGTTGTTCAAAAGTCGATAAAGTAGATTTAGATGACTCGTGGAAATTAATCTCTGAAGTTTTAGATAATGTTTTAGATGGGAGAGAATCTTAATTAAATTTTTTTACAGAACCTACATTCATATTTTTTAACACTTGATATTACCAATACTTTTTAAAAATTACCATAGAATTTTAATTTTCTATCCCGCAATTCAATTTTTGGCTAAGATAAATATGGTAGAATCTAAATAAAGTTTATCATATCAATGCTCTTCACTTCAAAAAGACTTGTGTTTATTTTATACAGATTTCCCTCGAAATCTACCGGTCTAATTTTTTAAGCATTCACTCTTCTATAGGATGATATATAGCTTTTTTTAAAAAATATTTTTTTCTTCGTTCTTTTATGTTTTTCTTCATAGATTATATATATATATTTTTTATATTTAATTTTTAATATATCCTTATTTGTTTTTTATTATATATTTTTAATTTTTAATTTTTGTAAAAAGTATCAATAAATATTTATTCGTTTAAATTTAAAATTTAATAAAAAATGTCACAAATATTATCAGAAATAGAAACAAATAAAGCACAAGATTTTTTTTTTGACAAATAAATGTTATAATAAAAGAAGTTGTTCTATTATTGTAAAATTTATTATAATAATATTTTTAAAAAGTGGAATCCAGATCGAACCTGAACCGTTAACTGGTATTAACCATAATTATTTTCTGAACTGGCAAAATATTTATTACCTGATCCTCTAAAAAGGAGAGTAATCTTGACCTTTCTATATTTCAATAAAATTAAAGATTATTATTGATTATTAATCAGTATCAATCGTCACTTTATAAATTTTTGGGTTTAGCTATTTAGAAGGCCTAATTTGATAAAAAAATATTATAATTGTAAAGTCTATTTGTTTGTGCATTAATAATAAAATAAACTTTAATCGTCTTACTTATGTATTTATAGATAAGATTTAAAAATTGTATGCTTTACTATACGTAATTAATTCCAAAATTGAAGGTTCAAACCGAACCGATAAAAGGTTATTTTTATTTAAACCAAACTATTTCGTACGATTCTGATCTCTGGTCCTATCCTGTAATATTGGTTTGATTAAATAAAATTTATGAATTTTTTGGATTGGCCTGCCCCGTAAAAACATTTTGCATAAGATGTCCGGCCTAAAATATTTTTGCTCTGCCAGATTTTCAATTGCTATCTTTTATCAAGTAATGTTTAGTAAAAAATCTACACGAAAAGCTAGCAATTAGCGTAATATACATTAGAGATCTACGAAAATTTTTTAAATTTAAATAGGCCAGGCTAAGAAAATTTTAAAATTATAACGAGGGCCAGGCAAAACATTTAACAGGCCTAATGCATAACATTTCTGAGCCTGACAATTTATACAGAAAATATCAGGCAATCGGTCAGACACATTAAAATTTTGATATATTTATTTAAATTCAAAATATTTTGATTAATATAATTTGATAAATTACAATATGCTTATTTTGTATTTTAAAAAATCTAACTAAAATAAATCTATAAATAATATATTATATTAACAAAAAATTAAATAATTTATTTGTGATAGGATACAATTATAAATACAGATGCAAGCACTATTGATTTATAAAACGGTTATAGAAATAGGTAACCATAGTGAATCAGATCCTCGTTTATTTATTAATACCATGATGTGTTTAGACAGAATAATTAGACAGAATAAGACAGAATTTTCTTTTATTTTATTATCATAAATTACATTTTATTTTTATTATAAATTACATTTTTTTTATTAACTCCTTTAACCAAAAACAATTTATATTTTTATATCTTTTTTTTAACAATAAAAAAATAACCAATTATGTGAAATACAAATTGATATTAAAAAAATGTAACGTTAAAATGATATATAAAAAAATGTTAATATAAAATTTTTACAAATAAAATTGATATCAAAAAAATAAATCAATTGCTAAAATAAATAAAACGTTGATATTAAAAAAATATCGATCAACATATTCAACAAAATATATATGAGCCGTAATTGATGTTGAAAATTAATATGTTGTTAAACGGCTCGATTTGAGCCAATTTTTAAAAACAGCTAACTCAATATTTTAGCCAGAAAAATATTGTCTAAGGCTCGAGATTTAGTTAATAGATGTTCAAACCTTTGTGCCACCCATGAGCAAAATTTTAAGGCTTGCATAATGATTTTCCTAATAAATTATTGAGTTAGCCGTTTTTAAAAATCGGCTCAAAATGAGCCGTTTAACAACACTAAGATATTAAAAATATGATGGCAGAAAAATTCATTCAAAAAAAAATCTAACAGGCTGAGGCGGACTTTTAGTAAAACTTTGAGGGCCGGGATAATCAAAATAAATATATAATTGGCTGCGACTGGAAAAATTTGGGGCCTCCCGGATCGGAGACAACTTGAAAATTTTTTTTTAACAGGACGTCGCAAACCAGACTTTGCAGGCTTTTACTATACATGGCTGAATTACCATTATATACAAAAAATTATTGTATTTTGAATAAATGGATCAGAGGGTTGAGAAAATCTAGCTTGAGACATAGCAGCATATTTCGCCAAGCTAAAAAAACAGGGTCCGGGTTTAGAGCAGGGTTGCCAGGTCTCCCCCCATCAACGGGAGACTCCTGCAATTTTTTAGTTTACATGCAGACATCTCACTCCCGCAAAACTACCGCAATTGGAAATCTACCGCAAAAATCTACCGCAATTTAAATTTCTTTCGCACAATTTTTTTTAGCATTTTAGCCTTTTTAATATATAAATAATAATTTTGAGAAACAGTAATTGATTATTTTTATATTTTTAAAATAAATTTTAAATATTTATTAACATGTCTAGTTTTTATTTCTTTCTATCCTTACTCCAATCATATGTTTTATTTTTATCCAATAATAAATCAACATCATTCATTCATATTTTATTATTTTCATGTGTGTATGTATAAAAATTATAGGGACATGCGCTTAATTATCACGTTTAAATATATAATAAGGTAATATTGTACTTATTTCAATGATAATTATTTTATTTATTATAGTTTAATCAATTATTATTATAATCATTGCAGGGAAGTGTATCTAAATCTATTGCAATACAAAAATATGCTCCAAAATAAGAAATAATATAGATGCAACTATAGTTGCGGAAATGGTATACACTTATCATGTAGTACAACATTGACAGAGCTACTTATCATCACAATGTGGGTCGAATCTTTTCCCCATAATATTTAACACTCTAAAAGTGAAAACCTTACTTGTGGTAGAACAAAAATGAGCAAAGCTATCACCAATGTTTTGGGACCTGAATCCAGGAGGTCAATTCTTGTCGATTTAAAAAATGGACATCCATATGCAATTCTAACAGATGCATCTAATAAGGGAAATATTAAAACATTTCCCTTCCTTCGCTATTTCAATAAAAATAAGGGCGTTTCAATAAAACTATTAAATAGACATAGCTAACCATATAATTGTAAATATAGGAGATTTGAGATTATCAATGAGTTGTATGTCAGCTTTCTGCGCTGATAATGCCTCAGTGATTTTAAAACCCAGAGTGTATTTATAGAATTGAGGTAGCCCAATGTTGACTTAATGCCAATTGGCTGTATATACCATATACTACATAATTCTTGCAAGGCAATGAATGTATTATCTGTGAATGTCGAAATAATTGTAATAAAATGTTTTAACGAACTTAGTTCATCAACTAAAAAAGTTAAAAAGAGTTGGTCTTGGTGAAGTGGTCTGACTTGGAATAGTGTGAGTTGTTGCCACATGTGCCTATCAGGTTTATCATAAAGCCCGCCATCGATAGAATTTTAAAATTTTACGAACCTTTAAAAAATATTTTTTAAATAAAGATTATAAAAGCCGTCCTAATATTTTGAAAAAATTTTTCTAGAAGGAAATGGCAGAGGCATATTTAGGAATGATTTCACATGTAGGAAATCTCCTACATGTTGTTAATATGCAGTTGCAATAAAAAGAATCTTTTTTAATAAAAGTTCACAAAATTATTCTTCAGCTGTGTTCATCTTTACAGTTAAAAATTGACAATAATTTTATAGGGCTAATGCTGAAAATATCATATTAAAATGTTCAAATATTACTCTAATCAATGTATTTTTAAATGAAGCAAATATTTTTATTAAGACATTTTTAGAATATTTGCAATCAAAATTTGATTTCAATAACTCGATTTACAAATGTTTAGATATTATTACCTTTGAACAGAAACCATCAATTGATGGTTTTGTAATATAATATATATATTAAAAATACCGATAGGCATTGATCCTTGTTTGAGGAGATTCAAATTATTTTCTTTTATATATAATACAAATAAAGTAACTCCACTACAAAGAAGTTAATTTGAAAAATATTACCTATTCTGAAATTATAAAACGTTACCGACTTTGCTAATATTTATATAAAGAATTTATAAGAAGTAATAGGAGGTTATCTAAACTAATTCCCCAGCCGGCCGGCACTATGCGGGCCTTCGGCCTGCAAATTTTTTTAAAGCTATTTTTATATTTTTACCGCAATTTTCATATTTCACCCGCAAAATACCAAATTTCTCCCACTATTTTAAAATTTTGACCTGGCAACCCTGATTCAGAGTTAAAAGTTTAAAAAGGGGTTCGGGTTTAGAGTATTGTTGTTAAACGGCTCATTGTGAGCCGATTTTTAAAAACGGCTAACTTAATATTTTATTTGGAAAAATATTATGCAAGCCTTAAGATTTTGCTCATAGGTGGCACAAAGGTTTGAACATCTATTGACGAAATCTCGAGGCTTAGATAATATTTTTCTGGCTAAAATATTGAGTTAGCCGTTTTTAAAAATCGGCTCAAATAGAGCTGTTTAACAACACTAGTTTAGAGTTTGAAGAGCATAAGGAAAATATTGACTCAATGTTAATAAATTAACATAATTTTTATTTATTTTTTTTTAAAATTCTATATCATATAAACATAATATAGCAAAAAAATTAAAAATATTTATCTTACAATCATTTTTATTATTTAATCCAAAAATGACACTTGCCTATATTTTAATTAAATTAAAAATTGAATATCTAGAAATATTGGATTTTATTTTCCTTTCTTGATTTTATGGTTGGCACAATATTTTACTTTCTAAAATTTATATAAAAAAAAGATAAGCAACATATTACTATTATATTATCAGCATATACTATATTATCTTTTATTACAAAATTTTGCCTAGATGGATTATTACAAAATTTTGCCTAGATGGATGCAAAAAAAAAATTTGGAAAATCATAAGAAAATGGAAAATGATTCAGCAAATAAATTTTATCTTATTTATTATTTAGGAATTTTTTTATATAAGGCTGTGTCCAAAATTTTTTAAAAAAAGCCTCATAATTTATAAATTTTCGCAAATTAATAACAAAACATTTTGGACAAGCCAAGTTTTATAAAAATCAAAATTAAAAATACGAAAAAAAAAGAAATTAAAAAAAAGAAAATGAAAAGAAGCATAACCAAAAAAAAATTAGAGTAAAATATTTCATAAAAATTATCAAAATAAATAAATTTTGAATAAATTTTTATTCAAATTTATTAATTTCTAGTATTTTTTTAAAAAAATAAATTTTTGACGAAAAATGATATAGTAGAATACTATTTTATTTTTTTACATTTAAAATAGCTTATGATTTTTTTTCTTCAAAATTTATTTATTTATATTTTTTAGATTTTGGACGCAGCCTAATTTATTATTTTAAGAATTTATTTTGATGCTTAAACCCTCAACTTTTACAACGGGTTCGGGTTCTGGTTCAGCAAAAAAATAAGGTTTGCATAGGCGTATTCAGGATTTTCATAGAGGGGGTAACACTACTAGGCGGGTTCTTCCATCACAAATTTTGATAATCGGAGAAAAAAAGCCTGTGGAAAAAAACTAGACTGACACAACTGCGGAAAAAATTCAGGGTTGTGAACCTGAACCCTCGTATTTTGTTTGTACCCGGACCCTTTTTAAAAGTAGAGGGTCCAAGGGTTCTATGTGTCATAAAAAAATTTTAAAAATAATATAAAAATTTTTTTATTTAAAGATTGATATCCTAAATTATTTTCTAGTGTAGTAAATAATATTTTTTTATGTAAAGCCCATGCTCTACAATTGGCTATTAATGACTGCCTAAAAAATAATTACTTTAAAACTATCATTATTTAAGAACTCCCACAATTGTAAGATATTAAAATCAATGAAAAGATCAATGACAATATTAGATTGCACAACACGTTTATGATGCTAGAACGATTATTAAGTTCTAAAGATTTCTGTAATGGTTTTATTATAGGAGCATGTGAAGTTATTTTGTCGGAAGATGATTGGTGCCAAATAAAGGACCTTAAACAACATTAAGATTATGATCAGAACAATTATATTTATCTGATTTTTATGGCGTATGGATGAGATGTCGATTAGATTTAGAAATTACTAGTCCTTTTTCGTACGAAATATTAGAAAACATGAAAATTCGAGAGCAACAATATTTGCCAAATAGTGTTTTATGTGCTTCTATATATTTAGACCCCCGATATCAAGTTTTCTTGGTATTGAGCAAAGCATATCTTAAGGATTTATGGCATACGCAAAACTCCATTGTTTACAATATATTGGAGGCTATTACAATAATACATACTGGTTGTAGTGATAATAATTATAATGATAGCAAAATTGATGATTTTGAAATTTTATTTTTAGATAAAGAAAAAAAAAATCAAATTATCATCAGATAGAAAGGAGGATCAAAAAATGCCGATTGCATCATAAATAGAAAAGTTCCCAGAAGTTAAAAGAATAAATTAGGATACAAATATATTAAAATTGGGAAGAAAATTCTTCACATTATATCCAGAATTATATATCTTGTCTAGAATCGTCATGGCTGTACCGGCGACACAAGTACAATAAGATAACTGTCTATTTTAGGTAAGCGTAGAATGTGGATTTTCATCTTTGAAATATATATTGTCAATTTACGTGGAAATCTCAAGGGTGATATTTTAGAAGATATTATGATTGTGCGACTGAATAAAACATTTAAAATATAAATTATTTCATTTTAAAAATTTTTATTTGTAAATTATGAATGTGTATATATTGAAGTATAATAATAAATGAATGAAAAAAAAGTCTTATTTTGAGTCATTTTTTATGTTCCCTGAACCCGGACCCGAACGCTGAACCAGGGCTCTTTTTAAATTTTATTACTGTACAACCCGAACCCAAACCCGGACCTGGATCTTTTTTTTTATCGAAGGGTTCACATCCCTGAAAAAACACCTGTGGAACAAAAATCCTTCGACTTAAAATCTAGTCCTTTTTTCTATTAGAAAATTAAATACTAATAAAAATTTGTTATTTATTACAGATATATTTATTGTCTATAAATATTATGCATGATGTAAGATAACAATGAATGAATGAATCTGTATTAATAAATAATACATTTACCATTTAAATAGTGTTTAAAGACTTATATTTTTAATTTTAAATTTTTAAATCTGGATTTTTTTCCCGCAGTTTTTTCGGCCGATTTTTTTCCCCACAGGCTTTTTTCCGGGATTCATAAATTTTATTGGAGGTCTTTAGGTCCATTTATTCTAGGTCTTTGGCTATATTCCATTTTTAACTTTTTTTCAACAAATTTTGAATTATAGTTGTTATTTTAAAGTATATGATAGATACTAAGCAGTATCTATTAAATGATATTTTGTTTATTTTTCATTTAGATATATACTGCCAAATTTGGTTTAATATATATTTAAAAAAATGCGAATTTCGGGACGCGTTGGCGGCCTAATAGATAAGAGCGTCGCTTACCAATCCGATATTTCTTATTTCTAATCCAGTTAAGGATCATGTTTTTTCTGAAGCCAACTTGGTTACTCCGTCCTTGGGATGGATGATATATAGTATTCGACTCGACCACTTGATTCAGTTAATATATATTAAAGAGTGTGTCTTATTGCATTTAATAAATTTTGGTTAGTGTTTTTGTTATTTTGAAAATTGCCATATATTGATTTGGCATTATCTATCATTAACCTTATTTTAAAAAATAATTTACTTTTTCTAATTTATCTTTTTACTGTTACATTTACAATTTAGCAAATACTTTATTATCCTTTTTATGGGTTACATAAATTTTTTGAGATCACAATTTCATATACAAGAATTTGGGGGTTTATAGGGAGGAAATTTTTATTACCTTAAGATGATATTTACGAGAACTGGCAGATTTTCTCCCCCCCCCCCCCCGGTTATGTGCCTGGTTCAGAGGGTTCGGGTTCACATCACTAATAGATATAAAACATTTGTGCTTTGAAAATAAAATTATTCTCTCATGAATATTTGATGAAATTTACTCAGAAAAATAAATAATGGAGAAAATTTCACATCCTGGGTGTGTTGATGTAACTAGGTGATTTTGAATGATGAAATAAATTTGTTGTTCATTTTTATTTATATATTGCAACTGAAGGGGACAAAATCAAAATTTTGTAAAATATATAACTAGCCTTAGGATTTCAATTCCAAAAATAATAAATAAAATTTTATAAATATGACGTTATAAAGATGAGTTTTACTTTAAAATTATTTTAAACGCCATCAGCATAAATGTGTCAAAAAATATCAAAAATATATAAGTCAAACTTTTATATTAATTATTATAACATATAAGTTTATTATAAATATTCAATGAAAAATTATATATTTTTGCAACCAATCTTTCTGTTAAGTTATTTAAATTTAAAGATTGTGTTTTCACTTGATTTCGGCTTTGAGATAAAAGAAACAGAAAAAAGAAATCTAGATTCAACTAACTTTTCTATCAAAAATGAAAAATACATCATGATTATTGACGCGGGCAGCAGTGGAAGCCGAATATTTGTTTACAAATATTATTTTCGCGTGCCCAATTCTTCGAATAGTGCTAATAATTCTAAAGAAAAAACATATTCGAATCTTAATGATTCAAAATTAGACCTATCTCAGAAGTTTTCTATCGATTACTTGAAAGTGGAATTGGCCAGGGATCCTGATAATTCGAATAAAACATTAGTACGAAAGATATCCCCTGGTAAACTTTAAAAAAAAATTTGACGATTAGGATACTAATATTTTAAACTCAATAATCGGCCAGTCGAATATTTTTTTGATAATTACATACATTACTTAATTATTTGATAAAAATTGGGTTTTAATTTAATTTTTTTATCAGTATAATGGTTCTTTAACTTATTTTTATAAGTTAATTATTTAAATGCAATGAATAAAGGTATATGGAATCAAATTATTGAAATTTAGTATAAATATCAGAGGTCTGCAGAAGTACTTTATTTTTAAAAAAAATTTCCACCTGCATGGGTTTTATATTTTCAGGCCCTGCTCAGATTTTTTAAAAAATAAAATCTTCAGGCCTGATCCGGATTTTTAAAAAATATATTATATGTATTTTTAATTTTTATAACTAATAATAACAATTTAAAATATTTGGTTTTAAAATATACCGCCTAACCCGGCCCGGGTATTTTTAAAAAGATTTTTAGTCACGACCCGGCTTGGGTATATTTAAAAAATCCCGGGCCGGGTCGAGTTAAGGGCCGGGGTTACAGGTCTCTGATAAATATATCTATAAAGTTCGACAAAAAACATTAATTTACAATTGTTATATTAAGGGAAATTTGCCATGAATGGCCATGTTTCTTTTTTGAAAAAAAGGTATTAAGATTTAGATTTATCCAAACAAATTTTATATGAATGCCTAGCCTGATTATTAATCTTTTAAATATAATTTGAATCAAAGCTCTATCTATAATATTTTATGAGCTAGATGAGGATATGTAAAAATTGTTTTTATTATTTAAGAATTTAAATATAAATATGAAATACTTGCAAACCTATCTTATATATTTCTTCATTTTTTAGGCGTATAAAAATTTAATTATACACTAAATTAATTAGTATTAACATCTAAATTTATCATCATCTATTTAATAATAATATTTTATAAATTAATATCTTAATTATCTTTTTGTTAAACAATCTTATTTCAATATAAAATTAATCACTATCTGTTTAATTATTTTATTAATTATTATCTTAACTATCTACATGTTAAAATAATTTTTCAATAATTTAATCATTTCATTCATGATATTTAATAAACTGTTGTAATATGTAAATTACTTTGTAAAATAGATAAAAAAAAGTAATATTCAAAAGAAGTAATATTCAAATAAATCGACTGTTTAACAGAAAAACGAAACTATTTATTAGATTATTTGAGTAAAGACGATGCAAATGAATGGGAAAGAAAAATATATATAATCGAGAATATTTTACTTAAAAAATAGGGGATCATGATTTTACGAACTTAATTTTTAATCTTTTAATTTTTTTATATTATTTTAATTTATTATTTTAGTTATGATTATGTATTTAGTATTTATATTAACTAATAAATTCTCAACTACAACTTTTTACCGAAACATTATGTTCTATGGACATATTCAGTCTACTTAAAATACAAAATTTTACATAAACTTAATTAAACAATTATTAATAAACAACAATAAAGAAATCCATTTTATTAATTTATAAATGAAACAATTATAGTATCTTTATTTATATACATAACAAACAAATAAATCATTGTTATTCGTACTATGAGCCCATTCTTCAGATTGCAAGCATTAATTCACTCATCACCTTACTTCCTTTTTGAATATGCCTTCTTGAATATTATGGAAAGCCACTCATTATTAGTTTTCTTTAGATTTTTCTTTGTTTTTTTAGTATTAGTTAATTTATGTTTTTTATATGGCGGTGAGGTCAAAATTTATGATTTCTTTTCCCTGTTGTCTATTTTTATATTATTATTATTATATAAAATTGAATTGGACTGGTTACATGATGTTAGGTTATATAACCAGGGTTACCATGTTTACCCCCATCAGCGGGAAACTCCCGCTATTTTTTAGTTTATACGCAGACATCTCTCTCCCGCAAATCTATTGTAATTGAAAATCTCCCGCAAAAATTTACCGCAATTATTTAATTTCTCCCGCAATTTTTTAAAACTATTTTAACGTTTTTACTATATAAATAATTTTTTATATTTTTAAAATAAATTTTAAATATTTATTTGAAAATGTCCAGTTTGTAAATTTCTTTCTATCCTGTTTTATTTTCATCCAATAATAAATCAACATCATTTCATTCATATAAGTCAGTACAGGGGAGTATATCAACATCAATTGCAATAAAAAATATTCTCCAAAAATAATAGATATTACAGATGCAACTACAGTGGAAATCGTATAAACTACTACTATGTAGTTAAACATTCACAGAGCTATATCATCACAATGTGAGTCTAATCTTTCCCATGATATTTAACGACTCCAATATAAGTGCAAATTTACTTGTGGCAGAACAAAAAATGAGCAAGACGAACACAAGTGTTTTAGTACCTTAATCCTAGAAGTCAATTCTAGACGATTTGAAAGATGGGCATCCATATGCAATTCTAACAGATGCAAATAATAAGGGAAATATTAAAACATTTCCTTTGATCCTTCACTATTTCAACAAGAATAAGAACATTTCAATAAAACTTTTAAAAAATTTTTCCTCTATAGTGACAAATCCAACGATGTAGCTAACCACATATTGGTAAATATAGCTGATTCAGGGTTATCAATGATTTGCATGTCAGCTTTCTGCACTGATAATGCCTCTGTAAATTTTGGCAAAAACCAATGTATATTTACCGAATTGAGGCAGCACAATAAAGAATTAATACCAATTGGCTGTATATGCCATATACTACATAATTCTTGCAAGAAGGCAATGAATGTACTATCTGTAGATGTCGAAATAATTGTGATGAAATGTTTTAACAAATTTAGTTCATCAACTAAAAGAGTTAATGAATTAAAAGAGTTGGTGGAGTGGTCTGACTTGGAATGGTGTGAGTTGTTGCGATATGTACCTATCAGGTGGTTATCATTAATACCTGCCATCGATAGAATATTAAAATTTTACAAACCCTTAAAAAAATTACTTCTAATAAAGATTTTGAAAGCTGTCCAAAATTTTTGAAGATTTTTTCGAGTATGAAATGGCAGAAGCATATTTGGGATTAGTTTCACATGTAGGAAATCTATTTCATGCAGTTAATATTCAGTTGCAATCAGAATATTCTTTATTAATAAAGATTCACAAAATCAGGCTACAGCTCTGTTCATCTCTACAGTTAAAAATTGATAATAAATTTTATGGCGCTATTGCTATAAATATTATATTAAAATGTTCAAATAATACTTTAATACATTTTTAAATGAAGCAGATATTTTTATTAAGACAATTTTAGAATATTTACAATCAAAATTTGATTTTAATAACTCTATTTACTAATATATAAATATTATGACCTTGGAACAGAAACTATCAATTGATGGTTTTTGTAATTTAATAAATATATTAAAAATACCGAAAGACATTGATGTCTTGTTTGAGGAGTGTAATTCTCTCTATTTTTTATGATTCGCCAAAATACTTAAAGTTAGATGGTCTAAAAGCAGAGGAGAAATGGGTAGAATTTTTTCGTAATAACAATAAATCCCGATGCATGGAAAAAATATGCGAGTATGTCTTCCCATTACCTCATTCTAATGCCTCATCCGAGAACATTTTTAGCCTGATGAGAACTGCCTGGAAAAAGGAGAGAAATCGGATTGCTTTAACAACATTAGAGGCCAAGCTAAAGGTTAAACAAATTTATAATATGTCATGCCAGGAATTTTATAAATATCTCAACGACGGTAAACGTTTATTTCCATTATTTAAATCTCAAATAATATATAATTAACATTATATTTAATTTTCCATTATTTTTTATTTACATTCGCATAAAATAAATATTTTTTTACATTGTAAATCAAAAATAAAGAGCATTACAATATCCTCAAACAAGACATCATTGTCTATCGGTATTTTTAAAATATTTGAACATTTTAATATAGTTTTAGCAATGGCGTCATAAAATTTATTGTCAATTTTTAACTGTAAAGATGAACACATCTGCAACAAAATTTTATGAATCTCTGTTAAGATTCTTCTGATTGCAATTGCACATTAACAGCATGTAGTAGATTTCCTACGATCATTCCTAAATAAACCTCTGCCATTCATTATTGAAAAAATTTTTCAAAATGTTAGGACAGCTTTTCTAATCTATATTTAAGAAATATATTTTTAAAGGTTTATAAAATTTTATAATTCTATCGATGGCGGGTATTAGGAACAAATCGCAACCAACATTGTCTGACTTAATTCTATAAATACACTCTGGTTTTTTCCAAATTCACTGAGGCATTATCAGATCAGAAAGCTGATATGTAATTTATTGATAATCCCCAGTCTGCTATATTTACCATTATATAGTTAGCTATGTCTTTGGATTTTTCACTATTTGAGGGGAAGAAATTTAATAGTTTAATTGTAACGTCCTTATTTTTGTTAAAGCGGAGGATCAAGGGAAATATTTTAATATTTCCCTTATTAGATGCATCTGTTAGAATTGCATATGATGTCCATCTTTCAAATCGTCAAGAATTGACCTCCTGGATTCAGGTTCTAAAACATTGATGATCCTTGCTCATTTTTGTTTTACAAAAATTCATTTATCTTGGAGTCGTTAAATATTATGGGGATAGATTCTACCTACATTGTAATGATAAGTAGCTCTGTGAATGTTGTAATACAAGATAAGTGATTACAATTTCCGCAACTGTAGTTGCATCTGTATTATTTCTTATTTATGGAGAATATTTTTGTCTTGCAATAAATGTAGATACACTCCCCTGCTCTGATTATATTAATGTGATTGAACTATATTAAATAAAATAATTATCATTGAAATGAGTACAATATTATTTTATTATGTATTTAAACGATTTAAACTTGATACGTGATAATTAAGCGCCTATCCCTATAATATTATACACACATACGGTAGATTGCGGTCTTGCGCGATATTCGCATAAAATATTGTAAAATTAAAATCGTTTGTTT